AAAGAGCAGATGACAAGCATATCTGGGGTGCAGTTAGGGACACCATGAGACACCCAAGTGGAGATGTCCCATTGAACGTTAGGTCTGGAACTCAAAACCTGCGTGGAGGAGAGAGTTGTGATTCCAGACAGGTGTGAACAGGCTCCAGGAAAATACCCTGCAGGAGTAGAGAGAGGAGGGCGGGTGTGCAAAGCGGATGGCAAAAGACAAAAGGGACTGAGAAGGAGCCATCGGTCCGGAGGAGGAAAGCGAGGCCGGTGCGGGTCACGGAAACAAGTGGACTCGGTGAGAGCTGAAGCGGGGGCACTGGCCACAAGGGGACAGCGCACAGGACAGAAAGGTTCCGAGTGACTTGGAACCGGGCTGCCCGGCTCGCATACCAGTTCCCCTCCTTACTGGCCGTGTGACCTTGGGCCGGTCACTCACCGGCTCTGAGCCTCAGTCCCTTCCCCGTGAAGGGCTATGGTGATGAGCGATGAGCGATGAGCGATGAGCGAGCCGGCGTGTGAAAAGCGCTCAGAACCATGAACGGTGAAATGAAAGCAAAAGTCCGCCTCCTGGGGACACAGGGTCAGTGCGAGGTCAGCGAGGAAGCCAGACAGCGGGGACTGAGGTGTGAGGGCGCTGAGAAGGGGGCGGTACCTTCAGACTCCTCCTCCAAGAGGGCGGAGCAGGAGCGAGGGGGCCCGACTCCACCGCTCAGATGTCGCCTTTGAAGGACACAACCCAAGAAGGACGAAAAAAGAAACCCAGAGTTGGGGTCTGGAAAACCTCTGCGGGGCCCAACCCCTGCACCCCGCACCGCTGCCTGGTGTTCTGACAGTGCCAGCTGACAGGTGACAGGTGACGAAGCCTGACCCGACCCCCGGCTTCTCCCTCCATCGACTCCCCCACCCGCCCTCTCCCAGACCAAGTGGCTTCCCAGGAAAATGGACTCTCAGACCCAAACCAATGGGGGTCCATGGGGTGGGGGAGGGGTGTAATTACTGCCTAGGCTCCCTGGGGCCACTCACTGAAGGAAGACCTGAGTGGGCCACCCAGCCGGGAAGCGCTGGAGCAGAGACTGAGACCTGACGGCCACCAGCACCCCATCCCTGAGCTTCTGGCTCAGCTCTGGGGTGGGCCTGAGAACTGGCATTTCTAGCAGATACCCAGGTGATGTCGCTGCTTCTGGTGCTGGTCCACTACCCTTTGGGGGATCCGTTCAGCCGCTGCCAAGCCCCGCCCCAGAGGGGACTTCAGAGCCCCCCACCAGCAGCAGAGACTCCCTCCCTGGTCCTTACTGGACCCCCGGGGAGCAAGCGTGCTGCTGGAAACATGCTTTCCCCCCGCTGAGCATGCGGTCTGTCCCCTACTTCCTCCTCCAGCTCCCCTCTGCTCAGCCCTCCTTGACTAACCGTGTGAGAGACCGCGTCCGCGCCTGCATTTCCTCCAGCACTGTCACCGCCTTAGGGGGCTGTGTTCTGTGTCGCAGCCTCCACGAGGGCCTGGCCTTCGTCCGCTCTGCTTCTCGTCCGCGCAGCACCTGAGCAGAGAGGAAGCAGAGTAGGGCTCTTGTTAAATACATGCGACTCAGACTCAGCGTGCGACTCAGCGGAACTCCCAGCCCCGCGCCTCACCCCGCCTCACCCCTCCTCCTGACTGCTGTGTCTCGCCCTGTGCTCACTATCTCTGGTCCTAAAACAGCACCCCCCCCACTTCCCCCTCCCCCTGCCTCGCCCCTCCCTGGTGCTAATTACCCTCCTTCCTGTGACCTTGGAACAGGTGACCCTTTACTGCACGCTCTCTCGGCACCAGGCTCCCTCCATTCAGTCAGGCAGAAGGATTTATCCCTGTCCGGGGCCTCCGTTGGCAGTGACTAGGGGTGCGAAAGGAGGACCTGGGTCCTGCTCACAAGCGTTGACAGTCTCCCCCAAGAGGCCACAGTCATACCAGGGACCTCATCCTCGCGCAGCCCAAGGCGAGAGTCACTGTGTGTGGCTTGGTGGCACTAACTCTCTGAAGTTCCAAAGAGGACCCGTTGGGGGTAGGAGACTGAGGGCCCGACACCCCAGGTGAAGTCTGGCTCTGCCACCTGCAGACGTGACCCCTCGGAGCCCCTGGCAGAGCCTGTACACAGTGAGGGGACTTGGCGGCATCCATTAGGCACCAAGAGTCTCTGACCTGCAGAGGACTTTGGCACCGCCCCAGGCCAAGCGACTCGGCTGGAAGTGACTGGTTCGTTCAGGGAGATCTTGAGCCTCGCAGGCAACCCCCAGGGGCAACTGCAGAGGAGAGGAGCCCCGAATCCCCCCTCCCCACCCAAACTCCAGACCTGCCCGGCCTCCAGGTTCCCTCTGCCTCGAAGGCCTCCGGGGGCCATCTGCCCACACGGGTGCTGCCCTCAGCTGCTGCAACTGCTCTCCGATGTCTGTGACAGGGACACCGAACACGGAACAACAGAACGGAAAGAAAAACTGCTCTCAGCCCGCCACCCCGAGACACAGCTCTCGCCTCTCCTTTCGTGACGTGACGCCGCCCGTCTTGATCCAGGCGTGCACGAGCTGCCACGTCGGCGCGACCACGGCACACGGCACCTGCCCTGCCGTCCCAGGTGCCATTCTTCCGCCGGCAGCTCTCCTCGCTGCGACGTGACCTTCCTGCGGGCCGCCTACGATGCCCGGTGAGTAGTCCAGGTGGGGGGCCCCACGATCTACTCGGCCACTTCCCTTCTGCGTGACATGTAGCGATCGCCAGCTCCAGCCCGAACTGGAGGTGGACGGCTGAGCCCCTGTTACAGACCCCAAAACGGATGGGATGAGTCGGCCATTCAGCGAGCACCCACCGAGAACCTGCCGCCCGCAGAGGCCACAGAGAAAGCTGGTCACAGGGCCCTCGCACCCACTCCACGCACAGGCCCAACCGCGAGCCCCACCCACAGCCAGGGACCACCCACACCACCCTGTCCCTCCCCCTCTGGCTCCAACACCCTCTGTGGCTCCCCGTGACTGCCAGATCAAGAAGAACCTCCATCCCATGGTGCTGCAGGCCCTGCCCACCTTCCCGTCACAGCTCCTCTCCCACTGGCGGCCGGTGCACGAAGCTGCCGTCACCCACACCATCCCCAGACACAGGGTGCCCCCTCCTGCCTCGGGGCTTTGCAAACCCACGTCGCCCCCTCTTCCTCCATATCTGGCCAACCTTTACTCACGTTCCAAGGTGCCAACCGGCATCCCTGGTCTGCAAAACCCTTGCTTACTCCCCAGGGCCTGGCATCCTCCTCAGTGGCCCTCATGGTGCCAGGCTGGCCTCTGCCTCAGCCCCGAACACCCTGCATCCGTGGTGTGTGCTGGTAAACGTTTAACAACCAGCTCTCCGGCGGGGGGGGGGGGACCCTGAATTGTAGCATTTACCAATCTCCACGGTATAAACACTCCCACCAAAGCTGATTCTGAGCTACCGAGGCAACGTCATGGAATTGGAGAGAGATTCTCAATAACACACGTTATACAGTTATTTCCGCCACAGAGACAGAACAGGTACAAACAGCTTCAGGAGCACAGGTAATAGTAACATGTAGTAAAGAAGATTTTTGAGTATTTATTATACTTGTCTTTAATGTTAACTTATTCAACTGTAAGCTTATGTCATTTAATTTTTAAGGATGGTTATATTTATCAACCAGCTCAGTGAGATGGATTTAATTGAATCCTCCCCAAATGCATATGCTGAAGTCCCAACCCCCAATACCTCAGAATGTGACTGATTTTAGAGAGAGGGTCTTTAAAGAGATGATGAAAGTTAAATATGGGCGAGCCTTAATCCAATCTGGCTGGCGTCCTTACCTGCGATTAGGACACAGACTAGGACACGGACACACAGAGGGACAACCTGGTGAGGACAGAGAAGACAGCCATCCACACGCCAAGGAAAGAGGCCTCAGGAGAAATCAGCCCTGCCAACACCTTGGCCTCGGACTTCAGCCTCCAGAGCTGTGAGAAAATAGATTCCTGTGGTTTAAGCTCCACAACCTGGGGTGGCTCGTCATGGCGGCCCTAGCAAGCGAACACAGTCACTAAGTGGGCACTGCTGGCCCCAGACCGCCGTGCTGGACCACCTACGACTTTCCCGCCTCCTGACTTGACCATGGACTCTTCAAGGCCGGGTCGTGCTTCACTTTCAGGCCCTCGAATGCTGTTCGGAACGGTCCACGCAGAAATGATCATACATGCAGATAGAACATGGCCTCTGTGCCACAACTCAGCCCTGCCGAGGCCACACCGAAGCAACCATGGACGACAGAGGAAAGCCGTGTGCCCGTGAAACTACCCACGGGCACTACGAAGGCAAGACAGGACAGGCCCAAAACAGAGTCTCGCGGTCCCGCCGAGACCTAACCCCTGGCTTACAGTTTCAGCCTCTCCCTAGGGAGGGATTTTGAATCAACCAGGGTGGAATTTGCTGGTGAGCACCAGTGACTAAGCCCCTGATAGGATCCTCTGCCTTCCCCTGAGGGCAGGTGTCCATTCCAGAAATAATCCACTCTTTTAACTTCCTTGTCCCACCCTCTTTCTGCCTGTAAAAACCCTGGCTTTTGTACAGCTCCTAGGAGATTCTCTTTGCTAGATAGGATGCTGCCCCAATAATGAATGGTTGAATAAAGCCAATTAGATCTTCAAATTGACTCAGTTGAGTTTTTTTTTAACAGCACTGAAATGTGGGTTTCATATAATGTCTACGTGTCACAAAATATTATGATTCTTCTGCTATATTTTAAAACATTCTTAGCTTGGAGTCTGTAGGAGAACCGGCTGTGGGCTGAATCTGACCCCAGGCCTTCCTTCTGCCCCACCCCCAGCTCAGAGGGCCAGCTGGGTTAATGTTTGACCATCAGGAAGGAAAGAATGATGTCTACCGGCCACCTCACCAGCTGTCAGTAGGCAGAGTCCCCCTCTAGGCAATGTCTCGAATCCTTTTTAATGCAAAATGTTTTTCTAATATGCCAAGGGAAAAAGCTTTCTGAAACATTAATCAAATCTCTCTCTGAGAGACAAAACCGAGGCAAAACCGTCCCCTTTGCTGCCTCTAACATTCTACATAATATTTTAGAAATAAAATCCAGTGCCTTTTCCATTAGTAACTTCTATTTATTGCCTCAAAACAGTGCCAAATCAAATCTATGGAGACAGAACAACTCTCAGTGGTTGCCAGCGGCCGGGGGCGCGGGGGTGGGTATGAGAGAGAGAGGGAGGGAGCCTTAGGGGTGTGAGTCTCTCTGTGGAGTGAGGGTGTTCCAAGCTGACTGGTGATGGTCACTCCACAACCCTGCGAATATATTAAAAACCACTGAATTGCACATTTTAAATGGGTGAATGAAATGGTATGTAAATTACCTCAAGAAAGCTGCTTAAAAAAACATGCCGGCACTAGTCACCCACTTCTCACGCTGATAGTTCCTAGAGCCAGCCTTTGCTGCCACTGTCCCTGCCCTGACAGGAGCCAAGGGGCTTTCTGGGGTGAGGAAATGCAGCTCAGCCACCGGGAGTCATCAGTCTTGCTGGCAAGTCCCAGCTCAGCTGGGTCCTCGGGGAGCAAGTGGGAGGGGCCTGCAGGAGGGTCGGGAAGGCAGCTGTTGCTCCAGGCACTATCTAGAAACAGCTGGAACCCTCCATATTCCACCACCCAGCCCGTTACTAAACCTTGGATCCCAGCTCTCTCCTCAGCCTTCCCAGGAGTGTGTGGCCTGTCACAGGCCTGCGACCTTACTTGGGAGTCTTAGGCAGAAGCAAAGGGGAAGTGTGTCCCCAGATCTGAAGCCTGAGTACAGACAATAGGAGAGGCTGTTGCCCAGTGAGGCCACATGGCCACAGCAACAGGGACACAGCAGAGCGCAGCCTCCCCACCGCAGTTGGCACACAGGGGAGCCAGGCCCGGGGTCCCTGTTCTCGCATCAAGGAGGGGATGTGGGAAAGGGACAAGACTGTGGCCATGGGGCCGGCACACCTGAATTCTAGTCCTGAGTACCCACCGTTTTTCTGCAAGGTCCTTGGCAAGGCACTGTGACCTCCCTGAGCCTCTCGGCCACATCTGTACAATGGGGCTAATTATCTGCCTGTCCCAGGGTGACTGAGGACCAGATAAACTCCCAGCTGTGGGGCCCCTTCCGGTTTAACTCTTTGTGGCATGCGGTAGGAACTTCAGCCTGATTCTATTAGGAATTTATTGGCTTATTTAAGTGAAAAGTCTGGAGTGTGGAATTTAGGCACAGCTGGATCTAGAAAACAAAGTCGTGAGGACCCCATTTCTTTGTAGGTCAGCTCTCCTGTCCTCGTGTATGGACCCCCTTTCCAGACAGGCCTCCCTTTGTGGCTGCAGGTGGCGTTCTGTTCCCTAAACACCAACGCCAGCGGGTAGAACAGGCCTCCCCCACCCTCAGACTCAACCCAAGTCCTGAGCCTGGCTCTAGCAGGCAGGATCCGGGTCCTCGTTGCTTAGAGTCTGGAATCCCAGTGGCTGTGACCAGGGAACTTTTGAGAGTGGGCAACAGGGATCAGTCAGTGGCCTCTGGGGACAGAGCATGCCTTTCTAAAGCCCTACCCACTCCCGAAGCAGACACCATCTTGTCAAAGCCAGAGAGACAGCAGCCCCTCTCCCACCTCTGTCCAATCAGAGCAGTACAGAAAGAGGCTTCCCCATTTCACAGGGAGCCTGTGGCTGATCCTTTAAACTCTCAGGTCAGGTAGGCTATGGCCAGCAAGGCTTACTCACCCCAAACTAGGACCTGATGTCCACACATCAGCCTATGGCCAGAACCAGTCTCTCCCGCCTGGTTCTTTTCACCTGCTACCATCTGGGCCTGTCTCCTCGCCTTGTCTGTCCCCAGGCTGCTGTGGACAGATTCCACCTGCCTGGACTACGCTGGACGCCAGCCCCTCAGCCTGGTGGCCCTGCCTGGATAATGGGGCGGCGTGGGGGTTAGACAGGGCACATTCTCACATCTGGCTTCCTTGGTCTTTCCAAGGTCATCGATTTTGGAAAATTACGTCACCTCATTGTCTGTCCAACTTCCCTTCGAAATAACACACACTCCCATGGCACCTTCATCTCTCCTGTCCTTTCCCATGTACTTTTGGACAATTTCTTCAGACAGATGTTTCCAAACCACTCTCTTCAGCTGCGATTAATCTTAACCAAGCAAGTTGCAATCCCAGTGGCTGCTGGGTTGTAGAAATCCTAGGGGGTTCTTTTTAAACACCTGTATAGTACCGTTTTGCAGGTTTGGGTTCATTTTCCCCTTGGATCACATATTCTTATCTTCCTAGCCATAAATTCTAAAGATTTTTGTACCCATTGTTCCATCACATGCTGTCATTTATGACTGAGCCCCACCCATGGGATCACATGCAGTGGGTTGGGGCTAGGAATCTTCTACAAGTTCTCAGACCACGGATCTGTGAGGTGCAGGCCTAGGGTTTTGATTTTGAGTCCAGAAAGATGAACCCTTCCCCTCCCCGGGCTGGTACAATTTTCCCTTGGCTCTCATTTCACTGGGGCCGGGGGAGGGAATCTGGCTTTAGGCAGAGGTTCTGGTTCCAACTCTTCCCCCAGAGCAGGTCAACCCATCCCTCCAAATCCAAAGAGGTTTGGGGCCCCCACCATCTGATTCATAAGGGACTGATAACCACCCCAGGGCCACTTTAAGCTCAGGCTTCCATGTTCACTGTCTCCTCCACTATCTGGAAATTTTTGAGAAATCATTACCCATTTAACTCTTTATCATTGGCAGGTGTTTGAAGCAGGAAGGTTTTTCAGAGTCCCTTAGTCTGTCATATAGGAGCCAGTGGAGTCTTTACAGCCAAGCCGAGGTGACCAGTTACTGACCCTTATCCACAGCAATGGATGCAACCATTCCCATAAAACATCCTGATGTGAACAGTCCCCTCTCGGAAATGACAAGGAGACACCACTGACCACGTTTTCTCCAGTGCCCAGGACACCAGGGTGGCCCCCTCTACAGAGGGGTGGGGCATAGGGTACAATCCTACCAGTCTTCTCTGGTCTGACCTGCCCAAGCTATGCCATCCTGTTGCCTCAAAGCCACATAGCTGCTGAGGGCTGAGCATACACAGAGCGTCAGTGGGCTCTTCAGACCAGCACTGGCAAGGCTACTCAGTGACATGTAGAAATGGCTCCCTGGCCAGAGGAAGGTTCTCAAGGTCAGCTTTAGGCAGCCAGGCTTGGCCACACCAAGTGAGCAGAAGCCATGTTCACATGCAATGAAAAGTGCCTCGTAAGTGGCCGGGATCAAGTGTGTGGGTAAATATAATGCATGCCAGGAGTTGGAAATCACTGGTTTGAACTATGTATAAGGAGTCCATCTCATCCGGATCTCGAATTATGAGATGCTCTGAGGTGAGGCCCACGAGTCTCTGCATCTGTCAAATGCCTGAAACTCAGATGCACTGGCCTGACCACAGCAACCCTGATGCAGGGCCTGAGGGAAGCATGGAGGTGTGTTCTAGGAAGAGCACGGGTAGCTGGCACGGGTGGACGCCAAGTGGCAACACGACCGTGGGCTGCCCACGGGGAGGCTGTTCTAATAGTCGGTGACCCCTAGAACAAGGCCGACCTGAAGAACCCAAAGGTGTCTCCAACCTGACATTACGCATCAAGCGACATTCACTGAGCACCTCTGGGGTGCCAACGGGTCTCCGCTAGGTTCCTCCAACGGGGAGGCTGTTCTAATAGTCGGTGACCCCTAGAGCAAGGCCGCCCTGAAGAACCCCAAAGGTGTCTCCAACCTGACATTGCGCATCAAGCAACATTCACTGAGCACCTCTGGGGTGCCAACGGCTCTCCGCTAGGTTCCTCCGGGACACAGGACACACTCTTACCCAAGACAGTATCCACCTCGAAACACTCAGCTCAAATCCATTCCTCATTCAGCGGCCACTCACCAAGGGCCCGAACCTCGGAGGCCACGCGCTAAGACAGGGAGATGGGCAAAGCCTGCACCTTCTGGGCCAGGCAGGAATCCCAGTGGGAACGGGCGGGGGCGGGAGCAGCACCACCGGAAAGGCCAGGCCCCGGGCCCCCTCCACCACAGGGACCACCGCCGCCCTCCCCGGGCCACTCCTCATCACGCCCATCCACTGAGACAGCTTTATCTTCACCATTCAACACGTGTGCAGTATCCAATTTAAAAGACTTAGAAATGCTTCAGGGGGGGGCCGGGTCTGGTCCTCGCTCCTCTGTGATGTGGCAAAGGGAGGAAGCAGAACTTTCACCTCAAGCATCCTTCCCTTCTATAGTCAAGAGCTCCAATTTTGCCACTATGCTGAGCAGTAAAGAAAACTCTGAATAGGCAACATTTTAGATTTACAACCTAACACGCGGGAAATCAGTAATGCAATTTCCAGTGAATCAAGTCTTGGTGCATTAAACGCCAAGTAATGCTGATGTGACCTAAACTAGAAAACCTGGGCACCTTCCCCTGCTATTTGCAGTTTAATCCAAGCACATTCAAAGACACACACTGGACCAGAATGGGTTCTCATTTTAACGAGATGCCCATCAACTAACTTTGAAGTACGGTAAGATGAGTAATTATTTCAAAGTATAAACTACTTGATATAATCTAAAAAGACAAATAGAGCAAAAAACTTTTTCTGATTTAAAACAGCTAGTAACATAAATGTATTATTAAAACAATAGTACCTATTTACACACAGAATAAACAATTTTTGGAGAGCCAATTCCAGTCCTGGTTTTACCACTTAAATAGGAGCACGATCTTAGCTGGGTCATTTCATTCAAGGATGATTTGAAAATCAATTTATAATACTATTAGATCCCAGCTATGATGAGTCTTCAAGGATCTTTTATACCAAGTCGCAGTTGGGGAAAATACTATTTGAGAAATGAAATGATACTGACCCTCACACACCCACGGTACCAGCAGTCGGCCCAGATCACATTTCAATTCCTAATGCTTTAAGTCAGAAGCTCCTGCCCTTTATCTCTTATCCCAGGACTCAACCTGGGCTGACACGACCCATTCTCTACGTAACACAACTGGCTAATACTTAGGTATGCACAGGATTGAATTTAAAGTTGATGAAAAGAGACTCCAATTCTTTAAATAAAGAAGAGAAATAACATGCTTAGATTACATAGATCTAACTTATTTTGGTCACCCAGTAAATTTTGAGTTAGCTCCCATCAGTGGTCAAAAGAATACTTTGTATTTGGTACAGAAACCAAACCGGTTAGGTAAGTCAGGACTTGATGTCAACAATATAAACAATGGTTATTTGTGTGTAAAGTGCCACTTTTTTCTAAGTAAAACTTTAAAATCTGCTTTGTAGCAGCGAGGCTGGCATCTTCCAGTGGCCTTGGGGTGGTGACTGAATGCTTAACCCCGCTCATGAGACTCGCCCGAGTCCGCACCCTAAGGCCAGGACCTCTTAAGAGCGCAGTGAAGTCACATACAGCCAGCCTGCTTGCAAAAGCCAAACACAGACAAAATCTTTCATCAGAATAGCTTTTGTCTAAACTTTCATTCTAGGTGACACCACTCGCATAACTAATAGGACTAATATCGAGGTAGCTACAGTTTGAAAGATGTCATTAATGAACGTTACGAACAAATTCATGTGATACCTGGTCGATACAGTTCAAATGGGTTTTTCTTTTGCTGAGAAGGGGAGAAAAATAAGCGAAGTGCACACCTTCGGTTCATTTAGAAGTCGGCATCCAAGGTAAAAGAATTCTCTGTTGGACCGGACATCACTCCCATCTTCTGATACTCGCCCACTCTCTTCTCAAAGAAGTTAGTTTTCCCTTCCAGTGAAATGTTCTCCATGAAGTCAAATGGATTTTCTGCTCTGAAGACCTGAAAAGGGTTCACAGCAAAACATAAATACGAGACACCAGTTTTTTAAAAGAACCAGAGGGCTAAGAACAATATTTTACCTTGTTAAAACCCAGCTCCAGCATAAGTCTGTCTGCCACGAATTCAATGTACTGCTCCATTAAAGTGCAGTTCATCCCAATGAGCTTCACTGGCAAGGCCTCCGTGAGGAACTCCTGGGGACCAGACACAGCTGCTCAGTAAAACAGAAGCATTAAAGACGCCTTCTCCCAGCAAGCACGACACATCACCCACCTGTTCAATCCTAACGGCGTTGATAATTATTTCTTTGACTCTCTGCTCCGAAGGTTTGTGTAGCAGGTGTCGGAACATCAGGCAGGCAAAGTCGCAGTGTAAACCCTAGAAGAAAAAGCTTAAGGTCAGCCACTATAAAGCCAGAAGATTTCCATCACCAGCGTAGAAGAGGAAATGGCTTTATCTTTTTCTGCGTTCTTGTACATCTTGCTCAGCCACGCTAAAAGTGTTTAAACTGTTGAAAGGAAGACCAGTTTAACAGCTGCCTACTCTGCTTATGTCACAGAGAGAAGCTCGGCCACACCCAAGGCTCTCTAAGCTGCCACCTAGATGCTGACGGGCGGGGCCGGGTCTGGTCCTCGCTCCTCTGTGATGTGGCAAAGGGAGGAAGCAGAACTTTCACCTCAAGCATCCTTCCCTTCTATAGTCAAGAGCTCCAATTTTGCCACTATGCTGAGCAGTAAAGAAAACTCTGAATAGGCAACATTTTAGATTTACAACCTAACACGCGGGAAATCAGTAATGCAATTTCCAGTGAATCAAGTCTGCAAGTCTTGGTCCATTAAACGCCAAGTAATGCTGATGTGACCTAAACTAGAAAACCTGGGCACCTTCCCCTGCTATTTGCAGTTTAATCCAAGCGCATTCGAAGACACACACTGGACCAGAATGGGTTCTCATTTTAACGAGATGCCCATCAACTAACTTTGAAGTACAGAACCGATCATACAGAATACCAGGAAAAATAACATCCCTTTAAAAATCACATCATCCATAGAGAAATACCTACGTATAAATGTACTGTAATATACTGAGAATACGAGTAAAATAATTTTGGTAGGTTATTTAAAAAATTTCATTCCCCGCCAAGTATGTATATGGTTGAATTCACATGTGAAATGTGGATCTAAGGCAAACTGATATCTTGGGTCCCCTTTAGTGAACACGAGAACGTGCCTAAGAGTTGGTGTCTGTGGTGCGGATTAGCCTATTACTTGAGCTAGACTCACCTCATCTCTGCTAATAAGTTCATTGGAAAAGGTGAGGCCAGGCATCAGTCCCCGTTTCTTGAGCCAGAATATCGATGCAAAAGAACCAGAAAAGAAGATTCCTTCCACTGCAGCAAAAGCGACAACACGTTCTCCTGTTGAAGAGTTAGCACCGAAATATTTCTAGTGAGTTAACTGTTCATTTTCATAGGAAGGGCCACCAGACCAATAATGTCACTTAGAAAATGAAGCTCAGGTGTGAAGAGGGCCACAGGTAGCCTCACCATAGGTAGCCTCTTTGTCCCCAATCCAACGCAAGGCCCAGTCCGCCTTCTTCTTTACACAAGGCATCGTCTCGATGGCGTTGAAGAGAAATTCCCTGATAGGCAAACAGAGCGTGAGCAATTCTGGCAAAGACCTTCTATCATAAGTTTCTAGAATCAGTGAGCTGGGACCAAAGCCAAACTGGGGCTCGAACTGAAATGTTTTACTGGTTTGCTTTCTCCTTCACTGTTCCTTTTAAATCTCAACATTTATTTGGTTTACATTAATAAAAATTTAGGTATTTGTTAGTTCGTATTGAGCCCCAAGATCTAACACTAAAACTTAGTCCATTACACCAAGAGCATTTATTGGCTTAATTATTTCAACTCCACCCTGTCCCGGATCATACTGTAGATCAAGATCTATGAGTGAAAACTGTTAGGTCTAGGTTTTAGTTCATCATACAGAGCCTCAGTATGTTTTCTCAAAAGGCGGCATAAGATTAGATGACCAATAGCATATTTCCACTTGTAAAAACGGAGTAACCTCATCATAACTTTAAGTGATTGGCTAATAATAAAGTGAATTTAGGCTTCTTCCTCAAACAGATATGACATTGGGTGCTAGGAATTCCATTGATTTAGTCATTCAAGAGTCATTTTTCTACCCCTGTTTGAATTCGGAACCTCAAATAAATGATTAGTGAGTCCTAAAACTGTTGGCATACCACCCAAATACTCACCTTTCCTTGGAATCTTTAATATAGGTGTCAATGAGGAGACTATACATTTCAGAATGTATGTTTTCCATGGCAATTTGGAAGCCGTAGAAACAGCGGGCTTCTGTGATCTGAACTTCTTGGCTAAACCGCTCCACCTAGTGTCAAATGCATCAAAGTTCAGCTTGAGGAAAATCTACCGGCCGCAAGTTGGCCAAAGGACAAGCGGTTGCATCACACGCCCTTTCCATTTTAAGGTTCGTTTCTCTGCATAAGTCATTGTTCCGTGATAAAGCCGGACATTTTATGTCATATGTTCAGTTTACAGGTCGGGAAATAGGTCATCCTAATTTTATAGCTTTTTGAGAACACTTGGTTATTGACTCCCTCTTTCCTGATTCATTGAGAAGGATCCACTCACAATAAGCCATAAAGGCAACCAAATGATTAAAACGGCAAAGGCACAAAGAGCAAATGTGCTATCCTCAGGAGTAAACCTATTTATTACCACTTAACGTTGTCTTTGAGCCTCTCCGGTTGGAGAAAAACGCCATAAGGAAGAAATAACAACAAAGTATATTATAAATCAGGAAATCCCACATAAATACTAGCTTATGGATATGCCTGGACTGGAAAAACATAGAAGACAAGGAAAGAGAGAATTAGTTCTCCCTCACAGCTTGCAGTGAGAAAACACAGACTTTATTTTGGGACAACTCACCAAGTTTTCATTTACTATGCCGTCACTTGCTGCAAAGAAAGCCAGAACGTGGGATATAAAATGTCTCTCTTCAGGCTTCAGGGTTTCCCAGTGCTGGAGGTCCTTGGAAAGATCCACCTGAAGATTAGAAGTTCACAAGGGATTCAAACACACAGGACCTCACGTATGAATCATTCTTAAGCGTTAAGTCTACTGGCACCGCTGGACCCACATACCCCTCAGAGCTCCCTTGGCCACTGAGACCATCTAACAGCCTCAGTGGGCAGCCGGCCCAGAGAGGAACAAGGAGAGAAAAGTGTATTTCAGACAAGTTATGACCGCTCCTGCAGGGGTCTTCCCCTGGAGTTAGGGCAACGCCTCAACTTTCGGTCTCCTAGTTCAGGGATCTGATTTACCTCCTCGGCTGTCCAAAAGGAAGCCTCAGCTTTCTTATACATCTGCCAAATATCATGGTATTCGATAGGAAAGATGACGAAGCGGCGGGGGTTTTCTCTCAGCAGTGGTTCGTCCTGCACGCTGAGGGCAGGTACCTTAGTTTTCTGAGGGGGCGAGAAAGTCATGAAAATGTTAAGCATCCTGCGAACCATATGAAATTGCCGTTTCCCAGGCCGGACTCGCTCGGCCGCCGGCAATTTCATGTGGTTCGCTGTCGACGCGTCGGCTGCATCCACGTATTTTTCCGTGAAATTCAGGAGCCGGGCAGGGAGAGCGGCCGGAAAGCGAAAGAGCTCTTGGGCGGGAAAGGCGCGGGGCCGGAAAGTTGTCAGGGTTTGAAAGGAGACAATGGGGCTTTGGCGCCAACCTGTCGCCCCCTATCTTCAGGGCCGGCGCCGGGCGCTCGCGGCCCCGACTGACCTCCCTGGGCTCCGGCGCCGCTGACTCACCGGCTCGG